AGCTGGTCTGCTAGGACATGAAGGGATAGCGGCACAGGCTCTGCCGCCTGCTAACGCTGCAATTAACTCTGTGACACGACATTCTTCCTTCTTTCTCCACTCATTTTCTCTCTTTCACAGACACACACACTTCGCTCCTCCATATTCCTCTATGAACAGTGCAAGAATCTAATTTAGCAAGATCATGCGTTGGTCAATGAGAACATGAGGGGGGGTGGGGGAGCTGGATGGGAGGGTTAGGGGAGGTTGGAAAGGAGGGACAGTCTTCAGTAGACACCCCTAAACACCTCCTTGCCTCACCTCATCGCCAGCCGGGCTGAACCAAACCTGACAGCTATTTAATTTTCCTAAAGCTAAATCTAATCTGCAGCCGTCTCCCCCTCACTGACACACTGTTACACTGGAACGCCTCAGACATCACCCACCCTTGGCAGCAGATTGGCCCCATCACACATGCTTCTCCCCCTCCACTTCGACACACAAACAGAAGCACGCACAAAAAAGGGCAATAGAGGTAAAGAAAAAATAACTAAACCTATTTTCAAATGAGTCTGAAGTACAAATGATACCGTGCAATTATGAATGAATGTACTCACAAAATACCGTAGCTCAAAACTAAGCTCTAACCAATCCACTGAAAAATATGAACTGAATAATGATCACGGGCACACATGTATGTGTATGGGAGGGGGGGTGGTCTGTTGATGTATGTGTGCACTCATATATAAGGGACACGTGTAAGTTAAGTAAACATCAAATCACTAGTTTCATGCTAATGTTTTTTTTAAACAACCCTGAATATTACAGAATCATCCTTGAAACAAAAAATGTGTGATTTTTGGGTATTTGTGAATTGTAAACTCTAATCAAATTAAATTCACACTTGTATATGTGCACACTAGAACAGAAGTCATTATAATATTGAGTTTATTAAAGCAACTCTAACAAATAATATATTGCTAACACAAATAAAACATTAGCTTAACAAATTTTGAATGGACAATTTTTGAAGGAAATAAAAGGCACATCAACAATATACATTTATTTTTAACAAGGATAGAAAGACACATGATAGCTAAATCTAATTAAAACTTTAAACGCTGCTTAATATGAGTGGATTTATTTTGGCTCATCCACGCACAGCAAGAATCATTCTTCCAATGTTGTCATCCAAATATGTAATTAATTTTAAATGAGTGTGAAAAACTAAAATGCATAATCATTTCCACTTCTAAATTAGATAATTATTCATGCTTTTAAATCTGGTTAGTGTGACTGAAATACATATTCAGAACAAAAGTTAATCTTGTTTCCAACACAAACACACATGAAACTGCCTCCTGTAGGAATATTACATTCTGTATAACGTCTCTGTCTTGGAGAAAGGACTCTGATGGATCAAAACACTGTCTGTTTTGTGTACAGTAAATCACTTAAAACATAATTAAGATAGTTTTCATGTTCATTTTCATAAAACTGGTGTTAAGAAAAAAATGTGGTATTTAAAAAATAATGCATTTGTAATGCACTGGTGTTAAATATGCTGTAACAAAATAGTTTTAAGTAAAAAAGATTTTTATTTTTGAAAGTTGACAGTAGAAGGTTTTCAAGCTATAAATTGTAGATATATGTTTAAAGCTTATTAAGAAAAACGGAAAAAAAAAACGAGTGCAGCATTTCTTTCCTTGTCCCATATTATTCCAGATTGCAGTTGATGCTCAGCCAATTAATTCATTTGTAATGCATTTGGTGCGCCGCTTCACTTCTCTAAAACACATAGATATTTTTTATCCATCCTCCACTCCACCTTGTCTTTTGTCCCTCATTTTTCATACATAGTGCCAGCATTTCATGTCAGTTGCTGGCTTGCTGCATTAAACTCTTTGGTGGTAAAGGATAATGGTATCGCACACTATACATGCATTACACACCCAGACACAAACACTCTTCTTCCCCACCCAGGCAAATCGATTCCAGCATACTCTTGTCACACATCATTACACCATCCTATCATCCTCTGATCTTTGCTGTGTATACGGTATCTGTACATGTGCGGGTGAGCATGCTTTAAGAAGGTATGCAAACTTAACACACACACACACACGCTGCAAACATACGCCTGCTGCCTACAGCTCTTGCTCTTAAAAATAAGAAAGCAGACACGCATGGAAAACTGGCAGCCAGCCGCTGTGGCGATCCCACAGAATGATCATTTGTCTTATATCTTCCATTACCAAGAGGCTTGAAGTTATTTCAGCGTGGCATAATGTCCCACTACAGTGATAGCAGAAAGCGATAACATCAGTGAAGTGAAAACTAGTCCAGCCAACAACACACACAGAGACACAGCCATCACAGCCAGGCTGGCTCATATAGACAGGTTGCTCAATGATACATGAAATTAAAGATTTCAACAGAATAGCAGTGAAGAGGGTAAAACACACAGAGCTAATTCTCACTATCAGTGGGAGATGTTTAATGTGTTTCGAAAACAAGTCCCTCTTCCTTTGTATGGGTAGTGTACACACCATAGTGTACAGTGTTGTAAGTGCATGTGTATCGTATTTGAACATTTAGTGATGAGTAAACTGCTAATGCCTGACTTATGTACAAATTGAAGGCGTTATTGACCATTTTTTTTGTTCTTCTTCAGGGACATAGAAGTGCTCACACATTCAAACACACACACATATGACCTGACTGGTGTAACCTTGAAAGGAGAGATATTTCCGATGGATACAGGAAACGCTCTGTGGCGTGGGAAGGGAGACCGATCAGGACGGGGGACGAGATGAAAGAGGAGACGGGGCTTGGAAGAGAGGCCAAATCTGTCCAACAGCAACAACAGGAAGATATATAGATCCTAAATTATTTCTAAATAAATACATTTATATAATTTCTGTACTCTAAGACTTTCTGTGAAATTAAGTTTTAAATTAAGAGTCATGCAATCCTTCCTATTTCAAGCAATAATGAAATGTGAGTTGAAATGACTAAAGGCAATAATTAGAATTAGCTATACAAATATATAATTAAACTCCTTATGTATTTGGACAAGGGCTGATGCACACATTTTAAGTTACGCACATATCTTAATAAATCAAAATGTTTGAATTGTGGTGGTACAGTACTGATTATTTAATACAAAAATGTGTGTGTGTGTGTGTGTGTGTGTGTGTGTGTGTGTGTGTGTGTGTGTGTGTGTGTGTGTGCGTGCGTGCGTGCGTGCGTGCGTGCGTGCGTGTGTGTGTGTGTGTGTGTCATGCAGAGGTATGGTTATTTCTGAAGGACTTTTGTTATGCTAGGGTCAAAGAGATAACTCAAGAGAGACTGAGTCCATCTGTCCCCTGCCCAGGGGAAAGAAACACACACACATAAGAACACGCACACACAAATTCACACACACACACGCACACGCCTTGGTCTTTTCTCCTCAGTGCCATCCTCCTTCTCTATGTACAACAGTGTACATCCCTCTATCTTTCTGCCTATTTAAAAGCATATGTGCCCTCAGGGGATCTGTGGTCCCTCTTAATTGTTCCTGGACAAGAGCTACTAGACTGCACCAGATACACAATAAGGCGAAACATACAGGAGATGTTATCAAAAGCCTGCGAATGATTGAATGTGTGCATTTATACATCCTGCTCTCTGACATATACTGCAAGTGGGCACAGTGAATACACTATACTTGCAACAAACCAGTTTGGCGTCAAAGATGCACTTTTCCCACAAAGAGGTCCACAGTCTTTCTTTGCTCAATTAACCCTGCGGCCCTCATTTGCATTTCATAAAGAGGTCGTCACTCTGTGGGAGGGTTATTTTCTTTTTTGAGGTGGAAAAAGATTAGAAGGGGAAGAGTTTTTATCCTATCAAAAAGATAACAGCAATCTGCTGGCTTCTGAGGAAATCCACGCTTTCGCTATAGGCTCACAGGCTCACATGTGTGTATGTGATTGTGCGTGTGAATATGCAGTGTGTGGTCATGTGCATACACTTAAGCATGTGGGAGGGAGGGGGGAGTCTGTACTGTATGTGTGCACTCATGTATAGGGTACATGTGTAAGTTAGTGTCTCAGATCACTTGTTTGGCCTGTGTGACATCTACTTGCAGCTACACACCACAGTGTCTGTGCCTCCACCCAGGACCCTGAACTGATGGCCCCTGGCACAACTCTGTGTCGGTGCACCGGCCCCCGCTGAGAGGGTAGCTTCAGCTTGGCTTTTTATCAATTGGTTATCCATTAGCCAGTTTTAACTTGTGGTTCATCAACTGACTCTCCATTAGGTACATTTGCATTCCATCACACTCAAATATTGCATTAATGCCACTAAGCGGAGAGTGGAAAAGGGACGGGAGAAAACTGCAGAGAGGTACGAAATGAGGTAAGGGGGTGTTACAAATGTGAGGGACCTTCGGTTGCTAAGCACTTTCCAGAGAGAATATCTGTGTGTCTATGCATCTGCCAGAGTGCCTTTGAATTGGACACCCATTTAAAAAGAGCATGTTCTGAATAAGCTTTTAAATCTGTGCCTACCTAGTCGACATGCATTACCGATTCTCAAGTGCCTAAAAAGCACGGTTCCTGCAGTTTAAGAGATGAAGAGTGACATTTCTCTAAATTCAAAAATGACTCACCGGCAGTCATTTCCTCTCTTCATAAGCCAGTCTTTTCACATCCACACAGCAATTTCAGAAAGTCTCTCAAAAAAGTCTATGAGCTTTGAAATAAAAAGTCACTTTACCCACTGTATCATATAATTTCGGTTGCAAAAAATTGCTGGAGTAGCCTACACTGTTGGGTTGTTACATATTTGGTCAAATTAAAAAAATACATATTTGAAAGAAAAATCCCTCCTCCTCTACTCAAATCATTTACAAGACTCAAACTGCCTGAAATGAAAATGTGCTCAAGTTCAATCATGTGGACATTTGAATTTTACATTTTGGGTATTGAGGTTCCAGAGTGCCACCTTAAGTAGACAATACAACTGCTCACCTTCTGCAGCAGCTGGGAGCCGGAGTACTTTGCTGAGATGGACTTTATCTCCCCACCAAAAGCTGAAGCCCACAGCTTCACCCTGCAGACAGAATACAAACAAACAAACAAACAAACAGAGACAAGCAAGAATTCAGAAACAGTTTCAAAACATAAATAGGCCACAACTTATTAAGCTGACTTAAAAAGTACTGATGAGTCTGCTTTTTGAAAGATTTAGCAAAAACATGAAATTGATTTACAATTTCACCTTTTTAAAAGCAGACTTTTTGCAAAATCTTTTAAAAAGCAGACTATCAGAGAAAAAATAAAGTATTACACTACATACGTATAGCATTAAACAACACATAGCGATATGGCATTAAATATTGTTTACTCAAACAGCTGTAGGCATTTATAAGTTCTGCTTTGAAACTTGGAGATTCAAGTGGTGCGTAAAAGAACATCTACTTACACGGACGGAGGGATGCTTTGGTGGGTGCCTCCCACCTCACTGACCCTGGTACCCAGAGTTGAGAAAAGTAAAATCAGACACGCATACCACGCACTGGAAACCACACAGCTCCGATCCACCTGCATCTTGGGCAAAATACCCTCCCTATGCGCACAGAGCGAGTTTGTTGGCATATGCTTCCACCGTGGATTTTTTTTTCTCGCCAGAAAATCCGAAAAAGGAAAGAAAAGAAGGAGATTGAGGAAATCAAAAGTCCAAAGTCACCTATGCTGTCCGACTAAATCGTTCATGGCAATGTGTGCTGCTGTTCTTGGAGCGGGACGCGGTTGAGCCTTGGCAAACGGCAGCTGTGAGTTATCCAAAGTGCCGCGGTGTGACCCGCTCACCGGTGCGGTGCACACGGCTCTGCTGCACGGCGGAAAGTCGAGCTCTACTCCTCGGGCAGGGAAAGTCCTTCCAGTTGCTTTGTTTGACCGACCTCACCCGCAAAGAGCAGAGAGTGGAGGTATCGGGGGAACTGGGGAGACCATCAAACGATGCAGCGCACAAGAGCACGCCTACTCGTCTTGAGTGATGCGACTAGCCTCCTCTCTCTCATTCTCTCTCTCTCCCCCTTTCTCTCTCTCTCTCTTACTTTCTCCCCTCCTTACTCTCTGGATCTGAGGATGCTCTTATTGTTGTTGAATTACGCCATACTTCTGCCTCTCTCACTCGCTCTTACCCTTTCTCTCTTACCCGGGCTCTAATACAGGGCTATAATAGCTAGCCTTTAGCTTTCATGTTAGATCAAGTCATGCACTGTATACCCAGTTCACTGAAGCAGGAATTACTTCCAAAGTGCTGACAAAAGAGAAAAGAAAGTGTGTGTGCGTGTGTGTGCATGTGTATGCGTGTGTGTGCATGTAAAGACAGAAGGAAGAGGAGATGTTCAGCCTCTTGGTGGAAGGAGGGCAGGACCACATGATACAGTATTTCAGTTGTGCTGAAGAAAAGAATGTTAATTAAATGCACTTTGCAGCAGGGATGTGGCACTGGCAGTGTGTGGGCATATGGGTTGTGAAAGAGGATGGCGGCCCCCGGGCGATGGACCCCATGCGACGGATTGTGTTTCACACAGAGCTGGAAGGATTCTGAAAAAGCACTGGAAGGGGATCAACAAGGACTGAATAGCCTATCTCTACTGCTGCAGAGGGAGGGCCCTTCTGATTACAGACCTTCCTCTTTTATATTAGGGGCTCACCTTTGGCTATATGGGTCAAACATCAATGTGAAACAACCGGTCTCAATAGTCAAACCCATAAACACAGTTGGTTCAGACCCATCCCAACAACAATATACAGAAGTAGAGTCACATCCCATTTTGGACCTTTTTAATATGTTTTTTTGGATTCCCTGTAACAATCCTCAGGTGTCATATAATCATACTGGGACATGAGACATTAAAATGCACTCAGATGAGAAAGCTCAGTGTTTAAACTGTATATCAAAATGTGTTTTGCATAAATGTTATTGTGCTGATATTTGCCTGCCCAGTGACTTCTCTAAAGTTGCCAGTGAATTGATGCCACAGGAAAAGCTCCCAGGTTTCCAAACCAACAAACATGGCTGTTCCAATGTGACCATAATGAAGTCAGCCTGCAATAAAACAATGTCTGGAGATCTGGTCTTATAATGAGAATGACAGAGACTAAACATACAAATAAATCATTTTGTGTTGTTAAGCTATGTAATCATTGGTAACAGTTTGTTCATTATCATTCTGAATATAGATCAAAGTAAAACTCAGCAAACACTTTCTGATATGAACATATTGATTTTTATTTAGGTTGCCCATGAAACATAACTTAAAGGTGGGGTAGGGCCTATGTAATGTATTTCAGAAACACTTTTTGTTATATTCCATGGAATGCTCTTAACATCCCGATAGCAATGAATATATTAAATGCTTTGACAATAAATACATTAAAAAATGTCATCTGTGGAAGCCGTAGTACTGTAAAAAGCATGAGCAATCATTTTAACTGGATGGCCTACCTGCCTGTCAGCCTTCCATCTGTGCACAAACTTATATCGTGCCCTCATTGGTCATGTGTGCGTTTGTGTGTGTTGGAGGAGGGGCTCTGTAAGGAAGTGGCAGATTTTCTCCGGTCGTGTATTTTCAAATTCTAGCGCACTCGAGCTGGTTTCTCCAAAATTACTTACCCCACCTTTAATGTGAGACCGCTATAGTAGTGGAAAATGTTGTCTGCCACTACATACAGTATGTGACAAACTGCCCTAAACCAGCTGATGCCTAAACAATATTGTCTATTTTTGATGGGTCTATGCTGCAAAAGTGACACCCACTGCTATGGGGTATAAACTCATGAACTAATATAAAATTAGGATTTTATTTTTTTCTATGAATGTGTTTCTTGGTATGGTTAAAACGCTGTCTGCTCTGTCTTTGCCTACTACTATTTTAGGGGTTTTAACTTTTCATCATTGTTTTAAAAGCAAAAGCACAGTAACGGCAAAGTCAGATCAAATCGATGAGGTATGGTCATAGCTGGAGAGAGAAACTTTGAAGTTACGTGATCATCTTCTGTGTTGTTTACCTTCTTATTGCAGAATCATCTCTTCCTTCTGTGTCTGTCCCAGCATGATCATAATGTATTGTATGGCATGGACATTGAAGCAGGTTTTATCAACCTTATTCCTGTAAATCTGCAAAAATAAAACTAAATATCCGTTGTGGTAGTTATAAATGACTTTTTATAAGCCTTTATTGGGTGTTTCTTGTAGGGAAGCGTTATTGTGATTAGGAATAGCACTGAGCAAAGCCAGGCCACTTCACTTGACAGAACTAGGTAGTCTGAAAAATAGCTGTTACGGTAAATAAAGTGAAAGGGCAGGTAAAAACCCAAATAAAATATTGAATGAAGAAAAAAAACTGCAGTTTTGTTGAAGAATGTCTTCATACTCATGACTAAAGGGATAACAAAACATTTATTTACGTCTTCCTTAATTCTTACTCCTTATTTTCATCCTGTTCTGGTTCTCATGCAGTGGGCTCCTCCAGATCTCTTTCTTCCTCGTCCGGTACGAGTGAATGGTTAATTGTTCACCATATTGAGAATGACAGTGTTCACACAAAAGGGTAATTTTAAACAAATTGGAATAATTCTTTATCTTTAATCTGTATATCAATATCTATTAGAGCAAAACTATTAGATACTATATCAAACTATATCAATATCTATTAGAGTAAACTGCTCTAAAGTCAAATAAAATCTGATGATATCACGGTTTTGAACATAAATTCCTCATGTCACTTATCTATCCCCAAAGAAGGTTTCTTTCCATCTCATCTCCTTTGAGACATCACAATCTAATACCACTCATGTCGCATTGGACAACCAAACACAATCCCAATAGTCCCTCGTAATTCCCTATTCAATGTTATAATAGCTTCAAGCCGTAAACTAGACAAAGAGAAAATAACATTGTTTCTGTGATATTTTCCATTGACATAAAAATTATGAATATAGTTACATTAACTAGCAACAAGCCAACCACTTTTACACATAATTCTTGATGCTTGATTCATGCACGTGAGCCGGAGGCATGTCCCAGAAGATTTTCCGGACGGAGGGGGCGTTGAGGTAGGCTTAGGCCTGAATTAGCAAGGGATTCTTTTACACACCATAGTCGACCTTGAAAATAATGCATTGCATGCAGAAGCCATGGGGATGAGGTTAGTAACGTGGGGAGGAAGACATTATTATTAGTATTTTTAGAGGACATGAACAAAATAATGCATTGATGTATTAATTTAGTCATGGACAATGAAGTCCTGCACACATATTTTATGAAAATCAAATGGGGTGAGAATTAGTCATGGGTCACATCAGAGGGAAAAACATCAAAGACTAATGACCCAGTACTATTTTCAATCTTCACACGCCCACGACCCCTCTTGTTTCTCTCCTCTAACCCTCCATTTGCTCAGTTCTGAATGCTGTAATCACATCATCTGATTTTGGAGAGCAGAGTATACCCAATCTCCTGGTAACTGGGCTGTACCTGGCATTTTGGCAATGAAAGAAATATGTTTTGATGGTGCGCTTTCTTTACCATCCAATAGTGACAGCTTTCCGTTATTTCAATTTGTTGACTTCATATTTTCTCCTTACTCTGAGAAAGTACACCAAGAAACAAAACATCAATGTCCTTATTTGAGGTCATATTAACACACTGGCAAGATTATGCTTTAAGAGGTGTCATCATCACGTGCACATCAGTGAGTTATAAGCATCTGGGGGCTATTTGACACATCTGTATGATTGTACTTTAAATGTGGAATGACTGTCACAACTGTAACAAATCTAATGTATTGAAGAAGCCATTGCTATTACTGGAAGATGAAACAAAGATATCATACAAAATATTTCATAAAAGGAGAATAGTATACAAACTGCATGGGACTATGTACAGTGTAAGAGCTTCATCAGTATGGCCTTGTTTCCTTTTCTGATGTCTAGTTTGACCTAAGGCCTACCAGCTATCCTGTATCTCTAGCAGCTCATTAGCACCAAGGTCAATCCTGCATACCAATACAGAATTAAGGATAAGTGGAAAAGGGTAGATGTACTGGCATGATTGAACTGGATGTGCTAATACTTCAATAGGAATATGCGATTTTTACAGTAGCTTTTTATAATGTCCCCCAAATATGCAGGTTTTTTTACTGGACTACTGTCAACAATCTTTTGCCCTGCCAGAATAAGCCCTGCATTAGGTGAGGTGTGAGCAGCAGAGCGACAGGCTTTGATTAAAAAACACAGCGATGTTTAGGGAATTGCACCTTTGACAGATCAAATGTGTTCCCAACTGTGGTCATCATAACTGCCCCTGTTCCATCCTGCAGGTCTAAAAATAGTCTCTATTAGAAAACCAGTCACTTATCGTCAGTTCTATCATGGGAGGACAATGTAACATTTGATAGCTATTGCAGAGCTAAAGCATCTCTGTCCAGGCTGGTTTGTATTTACACCAGGAAGCGGGAGGTGGCGTCCGAGTGTGAGCATTGATGTACTTATCGGTACAGACAGTGATGGGCTCACTCCCATTAGTGCCTAGGAATCTCAAAGCACACCATAAATAATTCTTTGTTACCAGACTCAGAACTCACCTTTCTCCAGAAATACCTCCCTTAATTCAATTAATAATGAGATTCCAAAGACTTCCCTCCATCAGCACGAGCAGAGAAACAGACGACTGTATTTGGTGGGATGGAACACAGCTGCCTGCGGAATATGCAGCGTCATGGATCAAAAATATCCTCCGCATGCAAGATTCATGGGCTTGAAAACAAGGACAAACTGCATCCAGTTTGCCATGATACACAGCAGGCGGCATTGGCAGCCACGATGCAAGGGAGGTGAGCTGGTGTGTCACCTGTGAAATCAGGAGAGAAGATTAATAACCTCTCAGCTTCCCCCAGTAACTGGAAACTGT